TGAAGGCAAGGGGCTGGACTCGATGACCTTTCAAGGTCCCTTCCAGTTCTAGGAGAATAGGGATATCTCCAATTAAAAAAAAAGGAGTGGAAATGAAATGAAATAAAATTTTAACTGGCATAAATAATTAAAAACAATATTACAATTGTATTTCATTTCATGATATATAAAAATTTATTTCATTTGGTTATATATATAATATGCAAGCTAAATGAAGGCACCTGTACAGTGTTGCATAAGAAAAAAATCTGGGTCATATTTTTGCTGTTGGTGTTAAGACAAACTGTGTGTGTACAATACTTTAAGCTTAATCTTTACTTCATTATTGAACACACAAAACTAGCTAGCGCTTTTTAGAAAAGCTTTCATTTTTCAATTAACATGTTTTATTTCAAATCTGTTCTGAGTTGAAACAAGAGTTACATTTGCAGCTGAGGAAAGCAAAGATGAAACTTTGTTCTCTCTTTTGTGTTCAGCTGTACAATTTATTTTTCTCCTGGCAACAGATTTTAAATCTCTTTGCCTTTTTTTTTTCCATGGGAACTGTTTGGTAAGTGCCGACATTAGAGCTGACAAAGCTTTGTGTGTTTTTTTTCCCCTTTGCCTGGTTTCTGTGTCTGTGTGTGCAGGCATGCATTCATTAACGTAATTCCTCAACATTCAACAAGAGTGCATCATAAACCAGAAGAAAAAAAGCCTCATAAATATTTAGATCCTCCCGTCTACCTTCCAAACTAAAGTGAAAAAGAGTATTTAGTAAGGACTTGGTCTAAGTTAATCTGCATGTGAATTGAAAGGGGGTACAAAAGGATGAAAAGGTAGTGGAAACTAGCATACAAACCCCATGGTCTCCAGGGGGTCATTCATCTTGTTCTTGTCAATACAATCTCAGTCTCACTGCTTGGCTGTTTTCTGCGCATGACCAAACAGACCAGCTTTGCAAAGGCTGCAAAAGGATGCGCATGTTTTGTTCCATCATGTAATTTTTCTGGAGGAGAAGCAAAATGCCTCATATTTTGGGAGTAGCTGGCTTCTCTAATGGCATACCTGCTTGTTTGCTCCCTCTCCATGTGCATCAGATGTCTGAATTTAGTAATTGACATAAATAGACAAACAGGATGTATGTAAACAATTTTTGGATGATAGTTAATGATGGAAAAGACTTAGGATCAAGGTCTATCCCCTTCCCATAGAGAATACAGAAAAATCTTACATTTTACTGTTGTTTGACACACAGCTGAAAAATTGTACATGATGGGTCTAATTCTACTGTAACACCAAATCAGAATTAGTGTCTCCGTATATGTATAAATATTAAGCCTGTTACATCTAACATATGCTATTTATATCTTGTGGTAGTATTCACAAGAGGCCCAGTAACCTTCCTGTGAGAAATAAGAAAAATATTTAGTTTCCCTAATAAAAATATTGTGAAAGAATGTGAATATTGCATTTATACAGTGCTTTTGTCCCTGAGATTTCAGTGAATTATTCCCATCACTTCTGTTATAATGCAGTCACTCTTACACCACAAATGTCATTTTATAAATTTGAGGTTTTTACAAATAGAAAGATGTTTATTGTGTAAGTATTTAATTCTACGTCCTTACTTTATGTGCTATTGAGAAATCAAATTAGTGAGGAAGAAGTACAAATTTTGTAAGAACTTGGGAGGTACAGTCACTGTGTTTAGACAATCTTTTTATCCAAAATGATCTGAGGACCTCTGAATTGTGTAAGCTGGTAAAATGGTGAAAATAATGGCTTCACACAAGGCTGAGCTATTGATCAGAAACTACCAGGTCACAGCATCTTTTTTGTTATTATAAGAGCAAGACCAAAAGACAGCCAAATGGTGAGATCTAATGAAAATTGCTGTCTTTCACCTAATGGGTTCTCCAACCAAAACATAAAAAGGCAAAACAGAAACAAATACCTTAAGTAAAATGGCCCTCCTTGGTCACAATATATTCTACATTTGAAAGTTAGTTGGGTTCAAAATTTGATTAATGTACTATGTTGGTTTCATGCTGACACCCACCCAACTGGAACAGAGAAGATAATTTTTTTCTTAAATTTACTTGATTTCCATAATCCAATCTTTCCCCACTAACATAACCCCTCAGGCCCAGGTCCTCAAAGTTATTTAGGAACCTAACTCCCATTAATTTCAAGGAAAGCTAGGTGCCTAATTACCTTTGAGGATTTGGACCTCAACCTTTTTTTATTTTAACACAGGCCTCTTTAAAGGACTCCATTACTAATAATCTTAAATGCTGTCAATCTGTCTCAGGGATCTCCACCCAATCTGAAATACCATTGGTGGAGTTCCCAGATATCATATCTACAGTCAGAGAGTTAATGGGTATATATAAAATCCATAATGGAGCAGGGTAAAAAGGATTAATACAACCCTCCATGAATGCAAATCAGCTGTGCAACATCTCCAGAAATGCTCCACCTAGAAGAAATGATCAGGAAAGGAACATGAAATAAAAGAGAGGAGTTGGCTTTTTAGGAAGAAGACCCCGTTATTCTTGGAAGAAATTGGCTATCAGAGGTCTAAGAACTAATGCCTGTTTGTCAGAGGGTAGGAAACACAGGGTTTCCTTGAGGTAAGAGAAAGCTTTGAGTATAGTTGT